GGAATCCGAAACGTCAGGCAAATAAAACTCTTGTTCCGGTGATCGCATCTTCGTCTTCTGAGTGGTTGGTTAGTTGGGCAAATAATTCCGTGACCTTAATCGGAGGTTTGCCCTTGTAGCCCGCACGGACTTGTAGGCGCGTAAGCTAGACACTCGGGTCATGTCATACAGGCATGTGAGCAAAGCGTGACTTAGAATAAGAGGTCACTTCACACTCATCGTGAAAGTTTCAAAGCCGTTAGACGCGCAATCTCACATTGTTGTGGAAGCCGGTGATTTGATTATACAGACAGTTCGCCAAATTCAGCCATATTGAAGAAATCAGTTGCAGAATCTGCTAGATGAAATGCTTAATCAAGGTTTGATTAAAAACGCCAATTATACTGAATAAAACAAGCCTCCTTTCAGCTGTAATTGTTTTTCCGCAATAAATGATGCTAGCTCTGAGAGTCTTCTGCTTCATGAAATTTCGGAATCTGAATATAACCGCAAATATGTGTGCGAATCTTCTAATCGGTGGCGAACTAATGTATAGCCGTAGCAATGAATGCAATCGATCGATACGATATTGATTGCAGTGCAAATAGGACACGGATGAAAAAGAGGCAGTAACGCGTTGACAAGGAAAGACATGTATAGACCAACTTCCATCGCTCAAATCGAGCAGGATTTGTAGCAGTGTATTAGACCACATTGACGAATACCTACAGGCTAACCTGGTCCCAATCCCTCATTTGACAAGGGTTAGAATTCGATGCCACGTTCGTGGGGTTGCAATATAGTAGCCGCATAGTACGGTACCTATTTTCGTGATATGATCTTCGTATGATGGATAGTTCATAAACTGGTAGGCTGAACGGTCAGGGATCCTGTTTAAATTGCCTTTGGTTGCTAAAATTTTTCTGTTTGCAGTAATCTGGCTAGTCTACCTCAACTAAACATGTTCAATTGCGTGACTCAAAGTTCAGAATGAATGGTTCATGTCCGCTTTGATTGACAAAACAGTAGTGTGGAGGTTTGCCCGCGAGAGAATAGCTTGTGTTACTGATGAAAAGGATGGGAGAATATGTGCCTGCAAATCCCCTGCGACACATCTCTATTCGTCGGATGCCAACCTGCTACTTGTACCCGATGTTTTGTCAAACAGCACACAACTTATTAGCAGACACTCAGTTTATCCCCGTATCATCATCATTATTGCCGCTAGCGTTTATAAATGGGCGATTAACTTCAGGGATGCCATTGTGACCTGCACCGATTTCTCCTCGCTATCAAACACGCTGACGTTGTAGGACATTGTTGAGGGTGGGAAATGATAGTAAAGAAGGTCCATAGGCGAGGGACAAATGGTCAATGGTCTTAGAATAGTGCCCTGTAAAAGCAGACTGTCTACCCTTA